ATGGGAAAGTAACAATGAAGTTCATCATTCTTGCTCGAGGAAACATCATGAGCAGTCAAATTGAGACCTTAGAAAGCATTTAGCAAAGATGGCGGGGCAAAAGACTTCTGGAGGAAGTGATTGGAATTCAAGGCACCTGGTTCTTTAGGCTAGCTCTCTCAGCAGGGCAGGAGAGGTGTCTGTCTGGGCTAGATAAAATGACCCCTAGATGGCCTGGCTTGCCTCCCCGAATTTGTGATTCTCAGATTCACAGAGATATAGTCACAGAGGAGAAAGGCAGACAGTCCTTAAGGCTGAATCACTGAACAACTGGGTGAGCTGGGTGGGAAAGAAGATGGTTGGAGGTTGGGGCTGAGAATCTGCCCTGAGGCCTCCCATGTGAGGCCATCCATAGGGGCCATCGCCCCAGAGCTGACCCTACAGCCAAACCTGTTTCCATAGACTACTTCTTTCCACCAAACCCCAGGCAAGTGAGTCAACAAGTCCATTTCATTCTGGATTTTTAGGGGAACTTTCACTTTCTTTCTCCTCAGCTCCTTGTTCCAGTGCAGGCAGAACTGAAAAGAAATCATGAAGCCCGAGACCACTGTACATCAGGGGACTCTCTTGCTAAGTCAAACTGATAAATGCCTGGTTGGAGGGGAGGGAACAAAGAACAGAGAAATGCATTCTGCCTGTAGTTTAGAGAGATGCCTCTGTGTCATCACCCTGGGATCTCCAGGGGCTCACATCAAGTAGGATCTGGAACATCAAGCATCACTGCCACAGTCACCCAGCCTAGGAATGATCTTGGAGGGAAAAGGTGCAGGATACTGAAGTGGGACAGTTAAGAGAGAGAGGAAGGGAGGCCTGGCTCTCACCAAAGGAATGAGAAGACTGATAAACAAGGAGGGGGGGCGGAGAGAGAGAGAGAGAGAGAGGAACCACAGAGAGTTACTGGGGGGGGAGCAGGGGAGGCAATTTCTCTCCGATTCCTCCTTTCCTGAAAAGTGTCTGAGTTCCCCAGCCTGTCTCCTTATCACCACAGCCCCTCTGTCCTTGCCATTCTCTCCCTGCAGCTGCAGCTGTAAAGGTTTCTCTGTTCTCCCTACACCTGCCTCCTTGTCCTACCTCATCCCACCCTCCCCCACATCCCTTTCTCCCCAGTCATCTCCCATTCCCCGACTCCTCCAGCTTTTTAGGCATTCAGGAATAAGGCTACCTAGACTCGACTCCACTTCCCGAAAACAGGAGACCACAAAGGTCCCTCTGCCCTCCAGCTGACCACATTTCCTCCCTTCCACAGGCCTACTTCCCACTTCAGTGTCCCTTCCACTAAATGAGGAACCACACCCCCTAAAGAGGTAGAGGGAGAAGCCCCTTTGCAAGATTTTTCTTGGGGTCCTGGATTTTTTTTGGGGGGGGGGTTAGGCAATGGGGTTAAGTGACTTGCCCTGGGTCACACAGCTAGTAAGTGTTATACATCTGAGGCCGCATTTGAACTCAGGTCCTCCTGAGTCCAGGGCCTATGCTCTATCCACTGCACCACCCAGCTGCCCCTGGGGTCCTGGATTTTAAATTTATATCACCATGCCCTGCCTAGCCTTTGGCGATCCTGAGCAGGTCAGTTTGGGGGAAACTGAGCCACAGTCCATGGCAGAGCTAAGAATACAGAGACAAAGCACTGTCCAGGAAGCTTAGTGCAGTGAAAAGGGCTGAAAGGCCAGAAAACCTAAGTTTAGGTCCCCATTCTGACACAACCAGCTGTGACCCTGATCAAGTCATTTTGCCTGGGTTTCCTCATTTGCAAAATACAAGTAATAACAGTTGCACTACCTACTTCACAAAGTCATCATAAAAAAAAATGGCTTTGTGGCCCTTAAAGCACTCTACAAATGTGAACTGTTTCTTGTTCCCTACTCTGGGCCTCTGAGTCTCTCTTAACCTAATCCATGCACTGGGTGAACCATGTTCTTCTGCAGACGCCCCTCCTATAATTCCCTGAGCCATTCATAGGTTCTTCCCTTTCCACTGAAGAAAAAAACCTCTTGAATATTAGAGATGTCCTTGTCATAACTCCCACCTGATCCAGAACCCCTTAATCCCTCAGCTTTCTCCACAGAGTGAGACTAACTAAACCCAGGCTCTATAGCCTCCCTCTGACTGTCTGAACTATCCCAAGAATCAGCCTGCAATGACATGGGAAATACAACCTAGAGCAGGACTTACTCTTAGAATGTCAAAGCTGGTAAAGGCCTCAGAACACAGACTGTAAAAGCAAAACACATAGATTGTTAAGACCTGGAAGAAGAGCTTAAACCACAAAACGTAGAATGTCTGAACATAGAACACAGAATGGTGGAGCTATGTGGAACACAGAACATTAGAACATGGAATATTCTTGCTGGAAGGGACCCTAGAGATTATCTGTCCAAGCCATTTATTACCCAATCAACCTCATTAGCATCTGAATCTCAGGGAGTCTGGGATTGATCATTTGGCTCAATGCTTCCTGGTCTGGAGATGGCCCTGGCTCCTTAGCTTTGCCTCTTGACCTCAAACTGGAGGTGGTAAGAGGCTGTAAGCTGAGGAAGGAAACCCAGAAGTCCAGGATCACAGAAGTTAAAATTACTATAGACCTTGGATAATCTAGTGGCCAAACTCTTCCCCATTTTAAATATAAGGTAACTAAGGGACAGAGAGGCTAAGGTTTGCCCAGGGTCACATAGGTAAGTATCAAAGTTAGGATTTTAGTTTTCTGATTCTAAATCTTATGGCCTTTGCTCTAGGACATGGCCTGGGTTCTTTTCCTGACTGATTTGTCCTCTTTGGGCTAGCAGGGAAGCAGAAAGAGCCAGGGGAAACCCTTGGTCATAGCCAATATATTAATATGTATGTTTATATGTAGTCTACTTTTATTTAACATTTTTTGTATCAATATTTATTAACAAATATTGGTCATAGGATCAAGAGCCAAAAAGGACATTGGAAGTCATCTATTTCAACCTCTCATTTTGCAGGTCAGGAAACCAAGGCCCAGAGAGGTTAAGCAACTTGCTCAAGGTCATACAAGAAGTAACCATCACAAGCAGTATTTTAACCCAAACCCCCATGGCCACTCCAGGGCTTTTCTTTCTTTCTTCTTCTTTTTTTTTTTTAAACCAAACCTGTGATTTCATTGTGTAAGATGTTCCTAGTGAGGAACTCCTTTTAAAGATGAAGATCAGCATCTGCTCTTAGAGAGTTGTTTAAGAGAACTAAGGTTAAGTCACTCACCTAAGGTCACATAGCCAGTATGTGTCCAAGGTAGAACTTGAATTTGACCCAAGGCACATCCACTGAACCATGCTGCCACCCTTTTGGTAAAATTTCCATTGTACCATGCTGTGCTCCCAGTTCTCTTTTTCTGCTTTATCCTTTCCTGGTTCAGGGATTAGAACCATTTTTGTCTCGTAAAAGGAATTTGATAGTTCTTTTTTAATTATTGGGAATAATTTATGTAATATAGGTAATTGTTCTTTAAACATTTGATAGTATTTAACTATGAATCCATCTGGACCAGGGTTCCCACCTCCCTTTATCAATGCCTTTATGATTTGTTCAAGTTCATAATCTGGGCTTGTTTGTTTGTTTAATATTGGAAATTGGTAAGGACACTGAATTTTGAGTCTGGGGACTTTGGGTTCAAGTCCTGCCTTTGTCATATCTGTCTGACTGTGGAATAATAATTAAACCTTTCTGGACATCAATTTTGCAATTTCTAAAATGAGAGGTTTGGGCTAGACAGCCTATAAGATCTCTCAATGTTCCAGATTTCTTATCCTATGTTCCTTCTGCCCCTTTCCTTCCCCAAATGTCTTTTGTAGTCTAAGGGAAGCAGATGAAAAAATAAGAATCCCATTCTTTCCCCTGCCAGAGTGGGACATCAAAGACACCACATTAGAGGGCTCTTCCATTTGATCTCAAATGTGGTCCTTGGTCTTAAACTTCTCTACACACTTAGCAGGTATACTGCTATCTCTGTTTATGTCTCATCTCCCTACTTGACTCCAAAAGGTCAGTCTTACATAAGCTTTGCATGTCCCTCAATACCTAGCATAGTGCTTTGCACACTTAACAATAGTAATAAATGTTTGTTGAATGAATGGATGAATGAATCTTGCTTGGTACCTCCTAAGTTTCCTTTCATGACCGCCCCTTCTCCCTCCTTTTCCAAGCTCCTCCCCTTAACCGCTTTCCAAAAAGGTGCTCCTCCCCCAGCCCGCTCCCGGCCTCTTTAGTTCTATCGGTCCTGAAATCATTCCACCAGCACCTTGTCCTTTTTCTCTGATGGCTTTCTCACTTTCTCATTTATTGAGCTCCAACTGTGCTGGAACTTAGGACTAAGTGTTGGAGGGAAGATGAGAAGAAGGTATTAATGTGGGTGGCGGGGCGGGCAGGGGAAGAAGGGAAATAGAAATAAGAAAGAAGTGAAATCTGGTCTCTGCCCTGGAGGAACTTTCAATTTAGTAGAGCATATAAAACATACATGAAACAACATGACAGCTACCTAGCAGCTCATTCACAATTGCTGTAGAATGTGCCTACGGTTGTAATCGTTCCCATCTCTTTCCCCCCCTAGTTCCTCCTCTCTCCTGCTGCTTCCTCCTCCCTCGACAGCAGTTCATCCCTCTCTGTCTCTGCTGAGACTTGGAGCCTGGGTGACTAAGGGTAGGCACTAAAAAGCTAGGGTGATGAGAAAAGATTCGGGAAAGGACTGGGCAAGGGAGTAAGGATTCCAAACCTTCTCCTTCTCCCCCAACCATATATGATTCCCCACCCCCACCCCTACCTCTCTCATCCAGTGTTTCCCTACTCTCTGTCCCTCTCCCCCAGATTCCTCCAGTCCCAGCCACTCTCCCTCCAGTCCCTCTCTGCGCATCTAGCCTGGTTTCCCAATCCCCCTGCCTCCGACTCTTGCGTTCCACGGGACCCACGCAGGTCTCCTAAAAAGCTCCAGCTCTATCCCTCTTAGCACTCACCACCAGAGCCCGCCGACGTGGGCGGGACAGAGCAAAAGCAGGACAAGTCCCAGTCGAGTCGGAGCTGGCCGTAGCATCTCGACGGCTGGGGTCTGGCTTTTGGGGAGGGGCGGAAGAGACAGAAGGCGGAGGGCGAGCTGGTGAAGCTGAAGCGAGGGGATCACGAGCTTTCAGGGGGAGCACTGCAGCAGCCTGGCTGCAGCGGCTACAACTCCCAGCCCCATCCCGGGAGAGAAGGGAGAGGCAGAGGCGGAGGGACGGGACGAGCCAGAGCTTCTGCCTTCTCCAGAACTCCGAAGACGAAATCAGAGCCGGGGGCGGGGGTGGGAGGGGAGGGGGGCCGGGGCGGGGGCGGGAGAGAGGGGCAGGGGAAGAGTGGGGGGGTGGCAGTTGCGACAGCACGGCGGCGGAGATCTCCAGAGCCTTGCGCCCCGGGGCTTCGGGTGGAGAGGGGCGGGGAGCCGGGGTCTCTGGGCGGAGCCGGGGTGAATTCCTGGTCCAGTGGGGCAGGTCCCTCCTCCGCCACCCCAAGGGCTGGCTATCTCCTGGGTCCGCGAGCTGCCCTGTCTGCCCCCAGCTCAGAGCTTGGGAGAAAACTGTGTGGGAAGGGGGGCGGGGAAGACCTAAGAAGAGGAGGGAAGGGGAGAGGAGAAATGGAGGGGGGGAGAAGTTTGACAGGTTTGTTGACTGTAAAGAGAGAAAACTTCCCAGGAATGAGGGAGTGGGGGGGGGGGAGTTAGAGGAATATGCAGCCCCAGGGGCCAAGGGGAAGACGGGGTGGGGGCCTAGAAGGATAGGGGTGCCTAACTTAGAATCGCAGACCTCCTGAGGCTAGCTGTTCCTTACAAAGGTCCTCTGCTCCCTCCCTCTGCCTACAGACTTTTTGATCTCTGTGCTAGGCAAAGCTCTCAGAAGTCTCTCCCAGAGCAGAAGCATCCCCAGGGAAGAAGATCCACAGACTTCAGGGTTGGAAGAGAATTTAGAGATAATCTTGTCCATACACTCTGTCATTATACGGACCAGGAAAGTGAGGAGACCCAGAGAGATGAAGTGATTGCCCAAGGTCACGTAAGAGCAAGTAACCGAATCGACACTCGAACTCAATTCTTGTAGCTCCAAATCCAGTGATCTATGCGCAGCTTCCTCTAGGCAACCAGTTCCTCGGTCCTCACTGCTAAGGAAGTTCCCCTGACCTCCCTCCCTCCTGAGAATTGAGAACGTGTCCTGATGGCCCTGCTGCTCTTCCTCCCACCTTCACTCGGGAGGGGGAAGGGCTGTGGATCGTCGGTAGGCTGGTGGGCTTCAGAGGTAGAGACCAAAGCTTTCTCCCCACGCTCTGTAGCAGTGCCGGGGTGAGCACCAGCTCAGCCCCAGAGGGTCCCTGGTTCCCTGAGCCTGCCCTTCCACCTCCTCTCCCACCCGGCATCCGCCCCTGGCAGCCGCTGAGCGGTGTTGTGGGGGTGGGGGAGCCCAGCTGCAGGTGAGACGGCGTTTATCTGATTCTCTAATGCCACAAAAATGCCTTTGATGCCCCCGGCCCCCTCCCCATTGGGAGAGATCAAAGGGCCCTGTGGGGAGGGGGCCAGCAACTGGCGAGGAGGGGGGACAGAACCATTCATCACACCTAGGTTCAGGGGAGGGCACTGAAGGCCTCACCTCCTCCCCCTGCAGGCAGGGGTCCCTCACAGTGCCCCCCCGATGGGTGCCGAGAGACGGATGGAGGTCAGGATTCCAGAAGGGAACAGCAGTCCCTGTCCGCCCTGGCCCCAACTTTAAGGTGCCTTCGAGTTTGGGAATGGGGGCGGGGTTCCGGGCAGGAAAGCGTTGTTTGAGACAAGCGGAGTAGCTCAGAGCCCTTAGAGGAAAGACCTTAGCCAACAGGGGTGGGAGGAAGATCCAGGGAATCTTCATTTCAACTTCAGGAGAGGGGGTGAGAGCTTGGGGGAGGGGAAGAGTAAGGAGCCTTCTGCAGCTCACTTAGTGAAAGAGAAAGGAACAGGCAGCGGGTGGGACGAACAGAGACACTTCCACTGGCTTAGGGACTGAGAGACAAAAGAACTCTATGGGGCAAAGGGAAATCGAATGAAGAAGGAAAGTCAATCCAGAAAAGGAGAGGTGGGAGGGAAAGTCTGCAGATGGGATACAACTAGGAAAGAGAGAAAGCTGGAGAATGAAGAAAGGCCAGACACCAGGAGAAAACAGATAGAGCAACAGAAACAGAAGCAAAGATCCAACCTGGCTGTATTCACAGACCCGACATCCCAAAGTACCATTTAAAAAATGCACTGGAAAAGAGCAAAAGAACAGCAGGCACAAAGGATAGGAAGAGAGAAGGAGGTGACCTAGGGGCTGAGGACATTGTGGAATAGGGGCTATGAGGAAGAGGAGCAAGGGATGAGGGCTGGGAGATGATGAGGGGTAAGGGACAGGGTTTGAAGGGGGCAGGGGAAGAGGTGGGGAGAGACAATGGGGAGAGGAACAGGCTTTTTATGAACTCAGAGACCTGGAGAGGCACTGGGAGCAGAGGGAGAGGTGCTGGGGGTTGATCCTTGGGGTGAAGTGGGGAAGCACTATAAAGAAAAGGGCTAGGAAACAGTGGAGAAGAGGAGCCAGGGCTGAGGGGATATTGAGAAAGGGAGATATTGGTGGAGGGAGAATCTAGGGTAAAGGACAGAGACTGGCATGAGTAGGTGAGAGGGGCAGAGGCAGGATGGTGAACATTAGAGGAGAGAACATTGGGGGAAAGGGGGCAGGGATTATAGAGACCCTGAGGGAGAGGGGCAGGAGCTTTGCAGGATATTGAGAGAACCTTGGCACAGGAATAGGGACTGATGGGAGTGGGCAGAAGGCTCATGGCATCATAGGTCTCAAGCTGGAAGAGACCTCAGAGGTTACCCAATCCAGCCCCTTCATAAAGCTCAAGGACATTAAATGACTTGCCTAAGGTCCCATAGCTAGGATCATAGGTATAAAGCTGGAAGGAACCTCAGAAACCACCTAATCCAATCCCCTTATTTTACAAATGAAATTAAGGCCTGAGGGGGTTAAATTATTTGTCCAAGGTCACACCAGTAGTAAGTGTTAGAGGTGGAATTTGAATCCAGGTCCTCTGACTCTAAGAATAAGTTCTCTCTCCACTGTACCAAGGAATCAGATGAGATATTTATAAAGCACTTAGCACAGTGCCCGGCTCATAGTCATCCCTTAATAAATGCTTAATCTCTTCCCCTTACAAATGAGGGATTGAGTAGGAACTTTGAGGAAGGGTCATGATTTGGGTGTAGGGCACACTGAAGGGGGAGGGCAGGGGCTGTTGGGCACCAAGTACAGAGGGCAAGAGCTGTGGGTGCACTGAAGGGAGAGGGACCAGGAGAACAAAGGAGAAAGAAGGGCAGAGGCCAAAGAGGAGCATTAAGAGAAATGAAGTTGAGGTGGAGAGCATATTAGGGGAGAGGCGCAAAAGCTTGCGCAGATTTGGAAAGGGTTGGAGGCTAGTGAATACTTAGAGACAGGAGTCTGGGGGGAGGCATTGGGAGAGAGACAGATAGAACAGGCAGATAGGGATGTAGTTTAACATTTAATGAATAGAATTCAAATGAAATGCAAAATAACCCTCATGAATTATTTTTAACAAATGTTTTGCTATGATAGGGCAGTATCCACAGAAAGAGACAACCCAAGACATCACAAGAGTGCAGGGAGAGATAAACAATCAGAAATAAACAAAGAACATGCAGATCCAGCCAGAAGCACAGGTGGATGAGAGGGCTTGGGGGTCAGCCCTCACTAACACCAGCACCCCTAAGGGAAGGCCCCAGGTGGCCCAGGGAGAAGCCTGCAGCTAGGCCCACTCCCTCTATCCAGAGCCCTCCTTGCCTGCCCCCTACCCCCACCCACCACTGTTATTAGAGATTATGAAACATTCTCCCCATCCTGCATTCTTCTCCTCAGCAAGAATTTTAATATATTTGTCTTTGCTGTCGGGGGACCAGGGCTCAGGGACTGCCCTGCCCCAATCTGAGCAGCGGGGTACCCCAAATCTGCGTAGGGAAGAACTAACCTCCAGTAGGACATAATCCCCTGTTCTCCAACAACCCTCAGCTCCTACACCTCTCCCCACCATGTTCCCCTCACCATACCCCCACACCACCACCACCAAGTCCCTGCTCCTTCCTTCTCTAGCTCTCAGACCTCTCTGTGGGGGGGACAGAAATGATGTTATTGAAACAACAAAGATGGGGGAGGGTGGTAAGGAAAGGGGATCAGCTCAGGAAACTGGGGCTCCTGCCAACAAGCCTTCTCCTCTGCAGGGGGCCTTTTCTGTTGCCCCTTTCTCCCCCACCCCTTCCTTTAAAATACACATTGCTACACTCCAGCAGTCCAGCAGTACATTCGGCCAGACTTTAGAGCAGAAGAACTGGGAGTCCAGACAAAGGGGGCAGGGGTGCCCAGCTGCATTCCAGAAGTTAGACCTGAACCCCCAGGACGCTCAAGTTTCTACTCTTCATTCTCTTATCCAGAGTCCCTATTGTAGTGTATTGACTCCCCTGCAAATTGCCTGGATAAAGGACTGGAAAAGGGAAAGGAGCCCCTGGCTGGAGGATGGCTTGATATCCAGACTTCCAATGAATGAACAAGTGAATGACAAGGCATTCACTAGGCACTTACTGTATACCACTATGCTAGGTGCTGTGGATACAAATAAAAAGGCAAATCAATCCCTGATCTGAAAATCACTTCCCACCCATCATCACCACCATGAACTTCTCTGCCTTTCTAAATTTGTCAGGGCTCTAACCCTTGCCCTTCTATCCCTACCCCCTTCAGGGGAGATAAGTTCAAATGTTCCCCAGAGGTCAGATACAGACCAGTTAACCAGTTACACTATGAAAGAGAAATGGGGTGGGGGTGGGGGGGAAACATAAAGGTTTTTGACCCAGGTGCTAAAAAAAGAGAGGGGGAAAAAAACCAGACTGTAAACACAATTGCCTGCAGAGAGCCTAGTGTACACTCACCCTGAGAATCAGATGCATACACAACCCACATGTAAACACACATCTCAGCACTTTCTCTTGCCCTTGTGAATTTGTACACACCCATCCTCTGTGTCTGAAAGCACAGAGGTACCTGGGTTCAAACCCCCAACTCTGCTAGTGGCTATCTGTGTGACCTTGAGCAAACTACTTAACCTGAACAATTCCTCATCTGCCAAATGAGGGGGCTGAATTCAGTGGCCCTCAAGTCTTTTCTAACTCTATATCTATGATCCTGTGATTTCTTCCACTCCAACAATCCTCTCCTCTTGACATCCTTCTTTTTCTTCAAG